TGGAAACTCAGGCACTGCCCAAGGGCCCGGGGTCAGTAGGGGGCCCCATGAGATGCCCCTGGTACCTTTTTCATAGGCTTTTTTGAGTTTGGGCAAGGACACAGGGGCCCCATGATCCCCTATTGCCCAGGGGCCCCATGAGTTGTCAGTAATGCCCCTGGTCTCTGTGCTTCTCTATGCAAAGCAGGGAGGTCATGGCTGGTAGGAGGAGCCACATAGCTTCCTAACATCATAGAACCCTGCCTCAATACTCCTCTCAAGAGCCCTCAGTCATGAGATATGCAGGGGATCGACTCTTGGGAGGAGTTATGCACAGGGGTGGACTGACAACTCATGGGCCCCCAGGCAATAGGGGATCATGGGGCCCCTGTGTCCTTGCCCAAACTCAAAAAAGCCTATGAAAAAGGTACCAGAGGCATCTCATGGGGCCCCCTACTGACCCCGGCCTTCGGGCAGTGCCCGAGTTTCCAAATGGTCAGTCCACCCCTGGTTATGCACATATCCAAATGCCCTTGTGGGTGGGTGTCAGTCTGGAGGAATGGGTGTTTTTTAGGCAGTCTTCATTTTCATGTAAACCTCCCTAGGTAACGCCCACATATGATGCTAAGCCTCCATGAATAAAAGAACTGAAAACCAATAAATGAAAGGGCATTAAGGCTGGGGAGAAAAGTCTAGAATACTGGGCATCCTCCGGCCAGGAAATGAGACAGGCTCTGACTTATTGCAACTTTCAATGCACATTGTGACAAGCTAACAGTGTGCAGTGAAATCAGCGTAAGCTCTCAGTACAGGAGAGGATCAACTGTGCAAGACTGAAAGGAAGGCTGGCGTTCAGCTTTAATACATTTGCCCCAGGCAAAAGAGAAATTGTTACTCTGAGAATTGGTACAATAAAATATTTATAAAGCAATCACAATCTACATGTCATTGTAATAAACCTGCAGGCTATGAAGTAGAATTTGAGCAAAAACTATATTTGTAGCTTTTTAGATCAGGAAAGGGTTGGAACCTTTAGCAGCCTTTTATTTCTGCCCCCCTAATAGAAAAACAATGACACAGTAACACAATACAAGCAGCCTGGGGACCTGACTTTATTCTGATGCAGATAGGCAATACAGCCTGGTCACTTCCCCACCCTCAACCTGTGATTGGTCTGTGAAAGAGCAGCAACAGACAGATGAGGTCGCCTCTTCTCCTCTCAGCCCTATCAGCATATTTAAACTAGGTGTTTTATGGGCAGGTCACCCCGGGTTATGTTTCAAGTCGTACCCTTCCAGCCACTTCTCTCTTTGATCCTAGATACTATTGTTTTACCTGACTTATCGCCTTCTATGGGTGAGTTGGACTGAATCTTGTTACTTCTGGACCTCATATGTCATATTGAGGCTCGGTTAGTATGTGAAAACAAGGCATGAATATTACCATCTATTTTCCAATGAGAAGCTTGGGTACGATTTTAAAACAAGGCTTGGTTATGATGATTACGATATAAAGTCGCGATGACGCAGTATGGCGCCCGTACCCTCGGAAGAAATCTTTTGATGATGAAACGCGTCGGGCGGAACTTCCTAATGATGTTATTGTGCTCCTAGAAGTGTTTGCAATCTGGCTTAGTAACTATTAGTTTTGTGCATTTATTTTATTCAAATGTGAGTGCACTTTTATCTGCAAAGAAATGTTTTAAAAAGATGTTTTTCACTATGGAAAGGTCTCTGTGTGTTTATCTTGGATGAATACACCAATTATATTTGAATATTACTATTGGGGAATTGGCTTTGTTTAAGAGCTGTAAGAGACCATCAACGTCCATGAGGCCATTCTAGAGCGCCGCGAGGCCATTCTAGAGCTCCGCGAGACCATTCTAGAGTGCTGCAAGACCATTCTAGAGCTCTGCGAGACCATTCTAGAGCGTCGCGAGGCCATTCTAGAGCGCTGCGAGGCCATTCTAGTGCACTACGACGCCATTCTAGAGTGCCACGAGACCATTCTAGAGCGCTGCAAGGCCATTCTAGAGTGCTGCAAGACCATTCTAGAGCACTACGAGGCCATTCTAGAGTGCCGCGAGACCATTCTATAGCACTGCAAGACCATTCTTATTTTAAGATGGTCAATATGAGCTGGCCAATTGGTTTTCACTTTGGGTGAAGCTGAATGCGAGGTTCAATGCTCGTTATGTCCGGGGGTAGGGGTATAAGGTGTAATACTTCCCCTATTCCTCGCTCTAGCATTGTTCTCTCCAATGCTCCAGGTTGTGGGCGGGCCTCCCGCTCCTTATACACAGTGCAGGGCTGTTGCTCCTACATTGTATGCAAATGCCAGCTGTAGTGCCTAAGGCTCTGTTCACACTTGTGCGACTCCAAAAGCACACTCCAGTGCAACTTTGGAGGGCGACTTTTAATCCGACTTTGATGTGACTTTACACTCTCTGGCACTCAAGTCACATCAAAGTAGTGTGGGAACCTGTGCAAAGTTGCAGCAACTGTGTCGCATACATCAGAACAGGTGCCATTGAAAACAATGGGTCTGCAACGTGTCATGCGACTTTATGTGTCCAAAGTCGCATCATAAGTTGCACAAGTATGGATTGAAGCCTTAGAGAAGAGTCTGCATGGGGCCAGTCAAGCAGCATGGAGGGAACCTGCCAGAGTCGAGAATAATTTTATAGGCCTCATTCACACCTGAGTGATTTTTATGTGCAAATTGAAGCTTCACCAAAGGCGCTTCATAATTCGGCACAAGGATTTTTAGGCATATTCAGCGGTGGTCGCAGGGGTGGACTGACAACTCATGGGGCCCCCGGGCAATAGGGGATCATGGGGCCCCTGTGTCCTTGCCCAAACTCAAATAAGCCTATGAAAAAGGTACCAGGGGCATCTCATGGGGCCCCCTACTGACCCCGGGCCCTCGGGCAGTGCCCGAGTTTCCAAATGGTCAGTCTGCCCCTGGGTGGTCGTTTACATCTGAGCATAGTGCCACTTGGAACTTGAGGTCTCATACACACCTGAGTATTTTGTTGCATGTCCCTGACACGTGATGGCACTCAGTAAGAAGAATCCCGGTGTCTTCCGTGGTGCCCGTTCACCTCTGAGCATTGTGCTGCTCAAAAAAGATGTGAGCTTTTTCAAGAAGAATTGTGTATTATTCCCCATAGCCCTTAATGGATGAGCCTGAAAAATGCATGTTATGTACATTTTGCTGCCATTCCCATAATAAAATCTATAGTACCATTAAGGCCTGGTTCACACCTATGTGTTTTTAGTGCATTTTGTAAACATCACTACAGTTCATTTAACATGGTTTCCTATGGGACACATTCACACCTATGCATTTTTCAGCCGCTGCATGTTTGGAAAGGGTCAAGGATTTTTTTAAACGTAACACAGTGCATTTTTGGTTCAATAGACGTCAATGGACATGTGGGAGAAATACAGGTAGTGCGGTTTTTATGAAATTTATATACGTTTTTGTTGTGTTTTTAACTTGTATAAAAAAAGAAAAATGCAAAACGCATCTAAAAACGTGCAAAATGGCAAAACGTACTGCAGAAACAAATCAAAAGCAAACTGCATAGGTGTGAACCAGGCCTTACATATGATCCTGCCCCAAAGAAGCTCCTGTACAGCACATGGCTTCTAAAATGTAAAAAAACATTTTTTAAAAAGCCTCAAAAGCTCCTGAATACAGTGACTGGAGCCTGAAGTTTGTTGCTCAGAAAAGTCCATATGCTTCATTAAATATTCATGATGTTCAGTGGTAGCTGTTCACACCTGAGTGTACTGTCATTTGAGACCTCATTCCCACTGGAGAATTTTGTTGTATTTTTATATCCTATTGTCTATTGGAGTCCATTTACATCTGAGCATTGTGCTACTTGTAGCTTGATGCCTGTCACTTAAAAAGTACATGAGCTTTTTCAGGCAGGCCCTATAGACTTTAACATAAGTGCTTGAAAAATGCATGAAAAAAGGGCAAAAAACACTTGTTAAGCATTTTTTTCAGGCACTCTCATAATAAAAGTCCATGAGGTCAGAAATGCACGGTCCTGCCCCAAAGAAGCATGAAAAATGCATGTTATATCCATTTTCAGCTATTCCTATAATAAAAGTCTATGGGACCATAAACATATGATCCTGCTCAAAGAAGCTCCTGTACAGCACATTGCTTCTAAAAACCTGCAAAAAAATGAATGGAACCCAATAGACTTCAATAGGAGCACCTGATAAACGTATGAGAAGACATGTAACTTGCTTTCCTGCCTAGTAACCATCTTTCCATTGGTTAAAAAGAATGTAAGATGCTTAAGCCTGAAATTCATGCATAAACTCTCCAAAAAAGTCCAAAAAGTGACTAAAGACATCACACATTTTTGACCCAATAGACCCAATGAGAGAACCTTAAAATTGTATGAGAATGCACACAAGTCTATTTCTTTCCTAGTATCCAGCTTTCCATTGGTTAAAAAACCCCCAAAAACACTCAAGCCTGAAATGCGTACAAGAGCACTCAAAAAAGACCAAAAAGCAACCAAAGAAATCACACATTATGGACCCAATATAATTTAATGAAAGAAACCTTAAAAATGTACGAGAATGCACATAACTTGTCTTCTTGCCTAGTAACCAGCTTTCCATGGGTTAAAAAAAAAAAATTCTCAAGCTTGAAATGCATGCAAAAAGGCCCCAAAAGTACAAAATGATCAAAGTGATCAAATATTCTGAACCCAGAAGACTTCAATGGGAGCACCTGAAAAACGTGTGTAACTGACCTTCTTGCCTAGTAACCATCTTTCCATTGGTTGAAAAGAATGGAAAACGCTCACGCTCACATTCAAGTACAAACTCTCCAAAAAGTTCAAAAAGCGACCCAAGATATCACACATTTTGGATCCAATAGACTTCTATGGGAACACCCTAAAAATGTATACTAATGCACATAACTTGCCTTCTTGCCTAGTAACCAGCATTCCATTGGTTAAAAAGAATAAATATGCTCAAGCCCAGGGGCGGACTGACCTTTCGAGCACTCGAGCACTGCCTGAGGGCCCGGGGTCAGTAGGGGGCCCCATGAAATGCCCCTGGTACCTTTTTCATAGGCTTTTTTGTGTGTGGGCAAGGACACAAGGGCTCCATGATCCCCTATTGCCCGGGGGCCCCATGAGTTGTCAGTCCGCCCCTGCTCAAGCCTGAAATGCGTGCAAAAATGCCCCCAAAAGTCCAAAAAGCAACCAAGGATGTCACACATTTTGGACCCAATAGACTTCAATGGGAGCACCTGTAAAACCTGACAATGCAGGTAACTTGTCTAGTAACTAGCTTTGCATTGGTTAAAAATCATAAAACATGCTCAAGCCTAAAATGCGTGCAAAAACGTCCGTACAAATGCTTAAAAAAAAAAGAGTCTTAAAAAGCGACCAAAGACGCTTAGCTCATGTATGAAGGGGCCTTCTTGCACCGTATTCCTCTATCCATAGACTTAGTGAGCATTTAACCTTTGTAATGTGGAGGGTGGGGGAACCCACCACAAGCAGAGCTTTTTTTTCTGCCTGGAGTGCGTCTCTAACGCCCGATCCTTGTTCTTATCATCATATCATTATTTTCCCTCAAGATCTCCAAGCTGCAAACTTTCATCATGCCCTCCCCGGGAAGAGTTTGAGGAACATGAGGATCATTCAATAAGATGAAAGTGGTGGTAGAAGAGGACAAAACGCTGCATCTCTGCCATGAAGAGGAAAAAAAAAAAAAAATGAACGGAAAAAAAAAATCTGCTACTTACAGTGCATGCATGCGTCCATTCACATCATGACTTCTGCTTTCCATGAACACCAGGACAACGAGGAAGAAGAATCTCAGCGGAGGAGGATTAAAAGGAGAGGAGATCTAAATGTCACTCAATGAGGCTCCTTGCTTTCCGTGATCCTCGGAGATGTGTGACGCCTGAACCTGGCAGCATGTTAGTGACCGGCTCTGAAGACATCACTCTCCTTTCCTCGACGCCTTTGCTTTCACGCCGACATCCAGCCCAAAACAAATTCCTATTCTCATCGCCGGCTAATGAACTCACCTCCCGAAGAATCCTCTTATAATTTCTGACGAGCACCCTGCACCGCGAGGCACACACTCGCCGCTGTGGGCAGCGCCAAATCGTTAACTATTTATGTCTCCTGCTGATAATGAATCAATGTGGACTTCTCCTGACAGTCATTCTTTGCTTGTCTCTTCCATCTTTGCCGATCGGCACTGTAGCTGGTGAGAAAGCGTGTTCACTCAATCTCTCCGCATCCACCCCTTCACACTATAGTTCAATCTACTCTGGTGTACGTTAACCTCATCCCTTCCAAACTGTAGAAGGATCCATGGCGACCATGGAGGGGTTAATTGGCAAAGTAGCCTTCAACGAGCAAATATGATATCCAAGACGCAAACCACTAAGCATTGATAGACGAAGCGGCTGCCAGAGTCGAGTATGTGAAATTTTGCAAGCAATGCAAAAGATTTGAGCCGCACACATTTGGCGAGTTGTTCAACTCCACCCAAAACCGATATCAGGTACTTAGGTGCTGATTTCCCTACAGTGATTTATGCGTCCATCCTCTTCCACTTTTATCTTTTAGGGCGCATTCACATCAGCAGCATTGGACTGCAAAAGGACAAAGCAAGATGCTTTTTGTCCTATGCTCCTAGATTGCTCAAGATTATATCCTCCTAGATTATATCCTCCTCCTAGATTGTATCCTCCTAGATTATATCCTCCTAGATTGTATCCTCCTAGATTATATCCTCCTAGATTGTATCCTCCTAGATTGTATCCTCCTAGATTGTATCCTCCTAGATTGTATCCTCCTAGATTGTATCCTCCTAGATTATATCCTCCTAGATTGTATCCTCCTAGATTATATCTTCCTAGATTATATCCTCCTAGTATCCTTATATCCTCCTAGATTATATCCTCCTAGATTATATCCTCCTAGATTGTATCCTCCTAGATTATATCCTCCTAGATTGTATCTTCCCATTGTATTATATCCTCCTAGATTATATCCTCCTAGAATATATCCTCCTAGATTGTATCCTCCCAGATTATATCCTCCCAGATTATATCCTCCTAGATTGTAAACTCGAAAGAGCAGGGCCCTTGAACCCTTCGTGTTTTGTTTTGTTACTGTATTGTCCTCATATTCTGTCCCCCCTAATGTACCAGCCTGAGCCCTTTTAGCGCTGCCCTAATGACTGCATAATAATAATTGTAATATGCAGGGGCGGACTGACCATTTGGAAACTCGGGCCCTGCCCAAGGGCCCGGCATCAGTAGGGGGCCCCATGAGATTCCCCTGGTACCTTTTTCATAGGCTTTTTTGAGTTTGGGCAAGGACACAGGGGCCCCATGATCCCCTATTGCCCGGGGGCCCCATGAGTTGTCAGTCCGCCCCTGGTCCTATGGCGTTAGCTGAAATGAGTGCATTGGTGCGCACTATTAAAAAAAAAAAGTTGAATTTTTGCATGGCATGTTCTGATGAGCTGTATTGCATCAAATTACATCAAAGTAAAAAAAAAATAAGTACTGCAATGCAGTTTAAGGACACATTGCAGCATGTTATTGCACATCACGCTCATTATGCACACAGTAAGGGCTCATTCTCGCGGGCAAAAAAAGCTGCGCACAGTGTATACTTTTGTACCCATCTAAACGCAGAACTATTGTAGTAATCAATGAGCCCATACACACAGCTGTGTCTACAGGCAAAAATGTGTGCTGCGTTTAGCCGTGCACAAGAAAAGTACGCCACAACTGCATCCAGGGCCACACAGATGTGCAGACTTTACACGTGTGTGTGCATAAATGCATATGCGCATACATGCGTAGTCATTTGTTGGAATGAAAAAAAAATTGTATGTGTCTAAACGCCACATGCGTACTTTGGGCGTGTAAGAATGTGAGTTTGTGCAGAAATAATGCATATGCCTATGTGAATGAGCCCTAACGTGTTTTGTGCAATGTGAATGAGCCCTCACAAGTGGCTCCAACATACTGATTTAACAATGGGGGGGGCGTGGCACAGCGGCATGACATTGACTGTAGCTATAGGGCAGAACTTGGAACTCTTACAAACAATTAACATTAGTGTTCCCAATAGATAGAAGAAGCTACTGTGTGCCTCAATGTGCCACCAGCAATGCAAAACTGAAATGTCAGTTTAGTGCGGAGTTGAATTTTTACTCTCATTAAAAATGTTGTCACATATAGAGGTTTTCTCAGATTTTGTAATATCTGTATTATTTTTGAAGGAAACAAATTCTACAACATTAATATGCTATTAGGAACGCTTTTGGAACCTGGGCCATCCCGGCTCATCAACTCCTGGGAGTGCAGAAATCCCAATAAGTAGGGATGAGCTCTCACCATTTGTTGTTCTTGTTCAGAGATTTGCCAGTAAATGGCCAGTCTCTGTGAAGAGGTGAGGTCAGAGAACTCTGATGAGAAGGGGGATGTGGACTGAGAACTCTGTTATGAATGGGAGGGCATCGGGGACGCTGATGTGAAGGGGTAGGGTCTGAGAACTCTGATGTGAAGGGGTGGGGACTGAGAGCTCTGATGTGAAGGGGGGCACCGAGAACTCTGAAGTGAAGGGGGTGGGTGCTGAGAGCTCTGATGTGAAGGGTGGGGACTGAGAAGTCTGATGTGAAGGGTGGAGGGCTAAGAACTCTTATGTGAAGGGGGAAGGTTGAGAACTGTGATGTAAAGTTGGGACTCAGAACTCTGATGTGAATGGGGGACTGAGAACTCTGATGTGAAGGGACAAGGACTGAGAACTCTGATGTGAATGGAGTGGAGACTGAAAACTCTGATGTGAATGGAGTGGGGACTGAGAACTCTGATGGGAAGGGGTGAGGGCTGAGAACTCTAATGAGAAGGGGTGAGGACTGAGAATTCTGAAGTACAGGGCTGGGGCCTGAGAACTCTGATGTGAAGGGTGAGGCCTAAGAACTCTGAAGTGAAGAGGTGGGGGCTGAGAAATCTGATATGAAGGGAGGAGGATATGGAGAACTGTGATGTCAAGGGGTGGAGGCTGAGAACTCTGATGTGAAGGGGGGTAGGAATGAGAACTCTGATGTGAAGGGGCAAGCTAAGAGCTCTGATGATGAAGGGGTGGGACTGAGAGCTCTGATGTAAAGGGGGGAGACTGAGAACTCAGATCTGAAGGTGGGCAAAGTGAGATCTCTGACATGAAGGGGTGGGAGCTGAGAGCTCTGATGTGAATGAGTGGGGACTGAGAACTCTGATGTGAAGGAGTGGGGCCTGATAACTCTGATGTGAAGAGAGTGGGGCCTGTGAACTCTGATGTGAAGGAGTGGGGCCTGAGAACTCTGATGGGAAGGATTGGGGACTGAGAACTCTGATGTGAAGGAATGGGTGGGGCCTGAGAACTCTGATGTGAAGGAGTGGGGACTACGTACTCTGATGTGAAGGTTTGGGGGCTGAGAACTCTGATGTGAAAGAGTGGGGACTGAGAACTCTGATGTGAAGGAGTGGGGACTGAGAACTCTGATGTGAAGGTGGGGACTGAAACTCTAATGTGAAAGAGTGGGGACCGCATACTCTGATGTGAAGGGAGTGGGGACTGAGTACTCTGATGTGAAGGTGTAGGGACTGCGTACTCTGATGTGAAGGTGTGGGGACTGAGAACTCTGATGTGAAGGAGTGGGGCCTGATAACTCTGATGTGAAGGAGTGGGGCCTGTGAACTCTGATGTGAAGGAGTGGGGCCTGAGAACTCTGATGGGAAGGATTGGGGACTGAGAACTCTGATGTGAAGGAATGGGGCCTGAGAACTCTGATGTGAAGGAGTGGGGACTACGTACTCTGATGTGAAGGTTTGGGGGCTGAGAACTCTGATGTGAAAGAGTGGGGACTGAGAACTCTGATGTGAAGGAGTGGGGACTGAGAACTCTGATGTGAAGGTGTGGGGACTGAAAACTCTAATGTGAAAGAGTGGGGACCGCATACTCTGATGTGAAGGAGTGGGGACTGCGTACTCTGATGTGAAGGTGTAGGGACTGCGTACTCTGATGTGAAGGTGTGGGGACTGAGAACTCTGATGTGAAGGAGTGGGGACTGAGAACTCTGATGTGAAGGTGTGGGGTCTGAGAACTCTGATGTGAAGGAGTGGGGGCTGAGAACTCTGATGTGAAGGATTGGGGACTGAGAACTCCGATGTGAAGGAGTGGGGACTGAGAACTCTGATGTGAAGGAGTGGGGACTGAGAACTTTGAAGTGAAGGAGTGGGGACTGAGAACTCTGATGTGAAGGAGTGGGGCCTGAGAACTCTGATGTGAAGGAGTGGGGACTGAGAACTTTGAAGTGAAGGAGTGGGGGCTGAGAACTTTGAAGTGAAGGAGTGGGGACTGAGAACTCTGAAGTGAAGGAGTGGGGACTGAGAACTCTGAAGTGAAGGAGTGGGGCCTGAGAACTCTGATGTGAAGGAGTGGGGACTGAGAACTCTGATGTGAAGGAGTGGGGACTGAGAACTCTGAATTTGTTTCACTCCCTATAAGGTCCCCGACTCTGAGAAAGTCTTAGTCCAGACAGATCTCCAAACTCCTATCCAGGTGAGTAAAGCTGTCCATACACAAAGTGCATTTCATCCGCTTCCTGATCATGTGGCTAAAATTGAACCTATGATTTGCTCCGTCTACGCCCTCACACCCGACATCCTTTGACCTGAAAATTGAGGGAGCGCGGTGGAAAGTTCTTGGCCGAACAATGGCCAATCAAATGCAATCACTGTTGGGTATTTTGACAGCCGACACCTGCCAGAAGCAAGTAGCTGTCAGATGAGATTCCTCCATCTAAACTGTGTACCGTGGATGGTGGAATTAATAGATTTCTCTTGGGTTGATCAAGAAAAATCTTACAGTGTATGGCCAGATTTACTCATAAATTGATGACAGCCGTGAAGCTTGAGCCATTGGCCATATGTCAGAGGTAGAACCTCAAAAATCATATTGGTGGAGCTGTTCTGCCTCACTTTCATGTATTTTTTAGGTTTTGTATTGAACTGCATGAGGCTATCACTTTTCTATAGTATGCTGACATCTAGTGGCAGTTCTGGACAACTGCAACTTGTTTACTATGTGATCTCTGTATTTTCCTCTGGCCTCCCCTCCTGTTTAGTGCTAGATAGTTAACCCTAGCTAGACCCACCTCATTTCTTCCCTATTCCCTCAGTCAGTGTTAGTACTTCACAGAGACAGGGCTCAGGAATGCAACTTGTTTACTATGTGATCTCTGTATTTTCCTCTGACCTCCCCTCCTGTTTAGTGCTAGATAGTTTAACCCTAGCTAGACCCATCTTATTTCTTCCCTATTCCCTCAGTCAGCATTAGTACTTCACAGAGACAGGGCTCAGGAATGTCATTGTCTTCTTACATTTCAAAAAACTGGAAAAACATCCCCTGTACTGCAATTAGCTGAAGTAAAATTGCTTGGGTTCACCTTCTGTATCTTAATGAAGAGTTACGCTGCCTATGGATGGTGCTAAGTCAGCAAGTGACCATACTGTCTGGGCAGACATGGTCTAAGGAACTATGACAATACACAAAGTGGAATTTGTAACAGAACAGGAGCAATGGACCCCAATAGGTGGAAGGTTGGTTAGCTGTAAGGTGAGATGGAACATAAGCTTCTATTCCTAAGAGTTTTACTGTAGGTCCATCTAGAATGATTAAGTTAAAACCAGGGGCGACTGACCAATTGGAAACTCAGGCACTCCCCGAGGGCCCGGGGTCAGTAGGGGGCCCCATGAGATGCCCCTGGTACCTTTTTCATAGGCTTTTTTGAGTTTGGGCAAGGACACAGGGGCCCCATGATCCCCTATTGTCCGGGGGCCCCATGAGTTGTCAGTCCGCCCCTGGTTAAAAGGTTAATGAACAAGCCATAGTAAAATGTCAGTCATAGAGATTTCTCAGGCCACATGTCAAACAAATACATTCAAAAAGCTATGTATAGGCATGTGGTCACAGCTTAGCAACAAGAACACACCAGCTCAGCCCTGAATATCTGCCTGTCTATGGCCGGCAGGACCTCCAATCCAATCAACCCTTCAAAGGAACTCAGCCAATGCCAGTGATATTCCACTCTGGGCATGAAAACGGTGACCATCACACACAAGACTCTAGTGGTAAAAAAACCTTTCGGTCAAACCAGTCCCTGGACTGCCCAATGGTAGCCAGAGATACTTAAAGCTGGGGTTTAGGAATGTCCATCTTGGACCAAGGTAAGTATGTATGTGCCATATATGTGGGATCCTTGTGGAAGCAGGAAATAAGTCCAGTCAGAGAACGATTTGCAATCATTGGGAAAATACAAATGGCGCCTGTGCCGAGCAAGTGACCTCGTGTGTCCACCAGGGGCGGACTGACAACTCATGGGGCCCCCGGGCATTAGGGGATCATGGGGGCCCTGTGTCCTCACCCACACTCAAACCACACCCAAAAAAGCCTATGAAAGGTACCAGGGGCATCTCATGGGGCCCCTACTGACCCCGGGCCCTCGGGCAGTGCCTGAGTTCCCAAATGGTCAGTCCGCCCCTGGTGTCCACATTGCAGTCAGTCAGCACTGGACCTGTAAGCTAGTGGAGATCAGTAGTGTATCGGTCTCTTCTTCAGTGATTTTCACGATGATCCCGTAGGTATGGCACCTACATACTTATATGACTTCAAGCTGAAACAATGTAACAATTGCCATGCTTAGAATTCAGCCTTCAATCAATGTCGTCTCTTCAACTCGGGCACTGACCGAGGACCCAGGGTCAGTAGGGGGCCCCATGAGATGCCCCTGGTACCTTTTTCATAGGCTTTTTTGAGTTTGGGCAAGGACACAGGGGCCCCATAATCCCCTATTGCCCGGGGGCCCCATGAGTTGTCAGTCCGCCCCTGGTACACCTTGAACTGTTGATACAAGGCAGGATGGATCCATGGATACAAAAGAAAGCAGAAAGAGGGCTCACCAGCCTAGTGCATTATCGTAAAGAATATTTATTTAAAAGGATAAATAGTAGGTATCATACTCACCATGGACATATAAAACAAAGGCAAATCACAATAAACAGCGGTGTCCAATCCATAGCATAGAAATCCAAAACAATGGAACCGTGAACCTACAACTGGTTAACGTGTTTCGAGGACTTAGCCTCTTCCTCAGAGCCTCAGGATGGATCCATGCTTTCATGTTGTTTATGGCAAATTCTGACCCTACATCTACAGTGGGGATCGAAAGTTTGGGCACCCCAGCTAAAAATTTGTATTAATGTGCATAAAGAAGCCAAGGAAAGATGGAAAAATCTCCAAAAGGCATCAAATTACAGATTAGACATTCTTATAATATGTCAACAAAAGTTAGATTTTATTTCCATCATTTACACTTTCAAAATAACAGAAAACAAAACTGGCGTCTGCAAAAGTTTGGGCACCCTGCAGAGTTAATATCTTGTACTGCCCCCTTTGGCAAGTATCACAGCTTGTAAACGCTTTTTGTAGCCAGCCAAGAGTCTTTCAATTCTTGTTTGAGGTATCTTTGCCCATTCTTCCTTACAAAAGTCTTCCAGTTCTTTGAGATTTCTGGGCTGTCTGTCACGCACTGCTTTTAAGGTCTATCCATAGATTTTCAATTATGTTGAGGTCAGGAGATTGTGAAGGCCATGGCAAAACCTTCAGTTTACGCCTCTTGATGTAATCCCCCGTGGATTTCGAGGTGTGTTTAGGATCATTATCCATTTGTAGGAGCCATCCTCTCTTTAACTTCAGCTTTTTCACAGATGGCATCAAGTTACCATCCAAAATTTGCTGAAATTTTATTGAATCCATTTTTCCTTCTACTCGTGAGATGTTCCCTGTGCCACTGGCTGCAACACAACCCCAAAGCATGATTGATCCAACCCCATGCTTAACAGTTGGACAGAGGTTCTTTTCATTAAATTCTGTGCCCCTTCTTCTCCAAACGTACCTTTGCTCATTCCGGCCAAAAAGTTCAATTTTAACCTCATCGGTCCACAGAACTTGTTTCCAAAATGCATCAGGCTTGTCTATATGTTCATTTGCAAAGTTCAAACGATGATTTTTGTGGTGAGGACGTAGAAGAGGTTTTCTTCTGATGACTCTTCCATGAAGACCCATATTTGTACAAGTATCTCTTTATAGTGGAATAGTGTACCACAACTCCAGTGTCTGCCAGATCTTTCTGGAGGGATCGTGCAGTCAAACGTGGGTTTTGAATAGTTTTTCTCACAATCCTGCGAGCTGTTCTGTCTGATATTTTTCTTGGTCTTCCAGATCTTGCTTTAACTTCCACTGTTCCTGATGACTGCCATTTCTTAATTACATTCTGAACAGAGGATATTGACATCTGAAAACGCTTTGCTATCTTCTTATAGCCTTCTCCAGCTTTGTGAGCGTCAACTATTTTCAGTTTCAGTTTTCTAGACAACTGCTTAGAAGAACCCATGGTGCTGATTGTTGGGGCAAGGTCAGATGAGTCTGGGCATTTAAAACCTTTGAGATTGACATCACCTGGTCTGCCCAGACGATGATTGAGAACAATCCATGACACTGGCAGGTCTCAGCTTGGCAAAGGGGGCAGTGCATGCTATAAATTCTGCAGGGTGCCCTAACTTTTGAAGACGCCATTTTTTTGTTTTCTGTTATTTTGAAAGTGTAAATGATGGAAATAAAATCTAACTTTTGTTGACATATTACAAGAATGTCTAATCTGTAATTTGATGCCTTTTGGAGATTTTTCCATCTTCCCTTGGCTTCTTTATGCACATTAATACAAATTTTTAGCTGGGGTGCCCAAACTTTCGATTCCCACTGTACATGTTGCAGCAACCATCTGCCCATTATCCTCTGACCTCTGACATCAACAAGGCATTTTCATCCACACAACTGCCTCTTATTGGATATTTTCATTTTTTGGACCATTCTCTTGAAATACTCAGAGCACAACCATGCCACGTTCAAAGTCACTGAAATCTCTTTTCTTCCCCTTTCTGATGCTCAATGTGAACTTCAGCAAGTTGTCTTTGCCTCGTGTAGATGCCTATATGCATTGAGTTGCTGCCATGTGATTGGCTGATTAGCAATTTGTGTTACCAAGCAATTGAATAGGTGTACCTAAATAAAGTGGCCAGTGAGTGTATAGGTAGCGCTGCGCCTATGATAACTATTAATACCTACACCCAGAATCATTGCCGAGTCAAAGTAATCCAAACCCTAACTGGATGACAATTATTTTTCTGCAACACTGTGCATCAGAGACACGCGTCTTTGTTAAAGATTGTAAGCTCCCAGGATCAGGCCCTCCTAACCCTCTACCTGAGGTATTGCCATGAACATCAGATCAAGGGCAGTAATTCTAACACTAGAACTCCTCTGTAAATCTAAAATGGTAGCTTTTAAAGGCTTTTAAAGCGTTGGCTATAGATATTAAAAATGTTTGCAGTTTGTCGCCATTGCATGGGGCATGCACAGTTTTAAAGCATGTCATGTTTGGTATCTATTTACTCGGCATACCATTATCTTTTATATTTTACCAAATATATTGCGTTTTTGGGCATTAAAAGTAAAAAAAGTGTATTTATAACCCTCTTATATTGAACTGTATTGTTGTTGTATTGTCTCCCATTACATTGTACAGCACTGAGCAAACTGTTGGCGCTATATAAATCCTGTATAATAATAATAATATATAAATCCTGTATAATAATAATAATAATACATAAATCCTGTATTATTATAATAATAATAATATATAAATCCTGTATAATAATATATAAATCCTGTATCATAATAATAATAATAATAATATATAAATCCTGTATAATAATAATAATAATATAAATCCTGTATAATAATAATAATAATAATATATAAATCCTATATAATAATATATAAATCCTGTATTATTATAATAATAATAATCTATAAATCCTGTATAATAATAATAATCTATAAATCCTGTATCACAATAATAATAATAATCTATAAATCCTGTAATATAATAATAATATATAAATCCTGTATCATAATAATAATAATAATCTATAAATCCTGTATCATAATAATAATAATAATCTATAAATCCTGTAATATTATAATAATAATAATATATAAATCCTGTATATAATAATAATAATAATAATAATAATCTATAAATCCTGTATCATAATAATAATAATAATAATATATAAATCCTGTATAATAATAATATATATCCTGTATCATAATAATAATAATAATAATAATAATAATAATAATATATAAATCCTGTAATATAATAATAATATATAAATCCTGTATAATAATAATAATAATAATCTATAAATCCTGTAATATTATAATAATAATAATATATAAATCCTGTATCATAATAATAATAATAATATATAAATCCTGTATAATAATAATATATAAATCCTGTATCATAATAATAATAATATATAAATCCTGTATATTAATAATAATAATAATATATAAATCCTGTATCATAATAATAATAATATATAAATCCTGTATAATAATAATAATATATAAATCCTGTATCATAATAATAATAATATATAAATCCTGTATATTAATAATAATAATATATAAATCCTGTATAATAATAATAATAACCAGATTGTATAGTGTATGGCCGCTGAAGAACCCTTCTCTGTATGAATTAGGACATAATCCATGCTGGTGTATCCACTAAAAAAAAAAACCTCACTAACGCCGCGCTAAATTCCGTCACCGCCAGAAACTCTGTGTGCATTTTCACGGAACCCAGGCACACAAGTAATGTGTCTATAAAAAAATAGAAGTGTGATTGATGTGTGTGGGGAGAACCCCCCCCCCTCCTTTATTACGTCTCTCTTTTCGGATGACAATAAGCGACTAACAAAAGGCTTGGAATGGATTAGAAGGCGGCAGGGGGTGGGAACCTTGGAGATTTTCTTCCTCCTCTCAAT